TGGTGGGACATGGCAGCCCTGGAAAAGAATTAACTCTTGATTTAATTCTTTTCCAAACCAACTTGGGATTTAATTCTTTTCCAAAACAACCTGTACACAAAATCTATTCCACCATGGTGCCCACAAAAGAATCAACTCAGGATTTAATTCTTTTTGAAGGGACCCAAATAGCAATAAAGTACCACATTGGGTAGGGGGCACATAAAAAGAATTAAATCCTGAGTTGATTCTTCTACAATAGGGATGGTACCAAGAATTAACTTGGGAGTTAATACTTCTCAGGGGGTAGCTGATAGGTACCAAAAGATAAAGAATTAACCCAGGAGTTGAGAATATTCAACTCGGGTATTCACTCCTTTTCGTAAATTCAGACATATTAATGCCAACACATGAGTGTAGCCGCGCGTGCTTTAACCACATGTTTCATGTCAGGTTGTCACCCTGTGTAGTGGTCATGCTGTGCACCTTCTTCATGACTTTTGCAACAATCACCTGATCTTAGACACATTGGCAAAATTGATCAAAATTGCACATGGACAAAATTCAGATGTCAATCCTCTCCTACTAGTACTTGGGAAGAAACTTTCACCCAACCTTTGTTCGGACGGTATTCTATACCACAATTTGAAGCAATATTCCGCCCTTGAACTCCTGCAACCACACACTCCGTGTTCCATGTGCTGAGATCTTCTTGCAGGCACCAAACCGCTGAACACTACGCTGCATGTGGCATGGCGTACAGTATGTCTCTCTTCCAATCCGAATATAGCAAGAAACGAAAAAGCCAAGCATTGATGGTCCAGACTGGAGCATGTAAGTGCCCAAGGACACGCTGAGAATAGGTGGGCCCATCATCAAGTATGCGAGTTTCAGGCAGGTTCTCTATCCCACATCCACCTTGTGACGACTTTAGTCGTCGCAGATTTACTTGGAGATGCTCATGTAAGAAAGACAAGCTCGATTTGGCATCTAGGCCTGGGCATCACCTTGCTGAAACTGATCAAGCAAGTGCCCCAAAAAGTAGATCAGCACCGTTAAGCCTGCTGGCCTCAGCTGCTAGAGCTCCACGCTAAAGTAAAGAGTGTCAACACTTTGAGGAGGGAGCTCCCGTGCATGTGTCAAGGCAGTCAGCAACACCTGAGGCGGATGTTGCTGCCTCCAGGTCACGATTATTGGTCAGGTGCAAAGAACAACAAACAATGACAACTTACACTCCGACTCAAACATGGAAGTGGAAAATGGTCCCTTGGAAGACTACTTTCCTTTACAAACAAAGGGTTTTCCATTTCTATGTTAGTGAGTCGGAGTGTACATTTAGGACAAAAAAGAAGAATCCCCAATCCAAATTGGCCTTCCATCCCTGGTTCCAAGAATGTATGCATAGATTGGCCTCACAAAAGTCATGTTTGACACGGCTTGACGCCAATTCGCCCTTTGGAAAGACTGGAGGCTTTGACCGACTCTCAAAGCTTTTGCCAATCCTTGGTTTTTTGAGCACTTCGGAGGGGATTGCTCAGGGCATTGCATGAGGACATGAACATGTTGTGTTCAACATTAGACTGACATTGTTTGACGTGTCTCAGCAACTGCAAATTCAGTGTCTGTTGCTTCGTTAGCTCATTTGGGTGCTGCTGCAAGAACTGCTCCAACAGTTTGTTGGCCTTGACACGAGCTGACAACTTGAGCATCGTTAGTGTATAGTCGAGAAGCAAGTTCAACCATTGGATGAACAGGATTGAACAGGTGCCAAGTAAGCGGTGGTAAATCGTTATTCTTGCGAGCAGGCCTCATCATAGCTCGGAAATCCCGAAATGCTTCCGTGGTCCAGCTTTTCCTTAGAATTTTCAAAATGAGTACGAACATTAACATCACAAAATCGTGCTCAAGTGCTTCCTTCTCCAGCGTTTTAGCTGAGTAGAGGTCTGTCCACGAGCTGTTTGTGATAAGGAACTGCAAGCTACACAAGAACCAAATTCGCCTGCTGCGTGTGGGAGTAACACAAAACATGACGCACATGCAGTAATGCTGCACCTCCAGACCATCTTGGGCTATGCAGGCAGAAAGCCATCAGTGCACATCCAAGTCACTGGTTAGTGCATCCCAACCACATCGATCAGTATGATTGACTTATTTCGTCAGAATGGTTGATTCAAGGTCAAAGGTTGCCGTATGTCACATGGAGGGGAACACTCTTTATTTGTGTGGGTGTAGGGTCTGTGCATGTTGGGACAGGACGTGCTTTTCTCGCATCTGGAAACTATCCAAGACCACGTGACATTCTCCAAAGAGACCTAACAACAAAATGAACAAGGAAGACCTGCCGGTCCGTCGTGACAATGTCATCATCTACAGTATATATACACATACAAGTAGGATAGATTGTGCTGGCATCTCGAGAGCGGCATTTCTTGTGAATGCTTGCTGGCAGGGTTATTTTGACATAGGTTCATGATGATTCATGTCAAGTAATGTACATACATCAATGGATTGGATGTCACATATTACATTGCGCAATATTTCTTGGGCCAGTCTTCCCTGCTGGACAGGTGCAAGGATAGTTCAAGTTCAAGGAGCACTTTGCAAGTAAGCACGTAATCAAAATAAATAACGCAAAACAAAAGGTCAAGTGAGCGGTGTCAAAAACCGGTCTACGATCTGTTATACTCATGACTTGCTTCCGCGAATGCTTGCGCGGAGCTTCCGCGACCTGCGTTTTGGCTTCTCCGGGCCATGATTGGTTGAAATCCTCTTCCGCGGCTCTTCCGCGACGTATTTCTCAAAAGTGCTCATAGGTTAGACAAATCTCCTTAAAGTATAGAGGCATTCGTTATTGTCAAGATTGAAGAAAATAACATGTGCACTTCCGCAAAGCTTCAGCGATGGTGAATTTTACAATATACTTACGCAGTGGCTTCCGCAAGCTTCCACGACTGCAGTTTTGGCTTCCGCGGGCATGTTGGTGTTTACAAGTTTGCTTAAACTGTTCGTGCGACGTCTTTGGCGCTGCTCAAGTGCTCCTTGTGATGTTTATGCCAGGCCTTGCGGATAGCACGAAGGGATTACGTGGTGAACAAATGGCTGCAATGCAAGCAGCACATGAAGGTGGCAAATGAATGACAATAATGCATATAGTACATGTATTCAGCGTGGTTCAGTATTTTGTGTGTACAGTATTGTGTATTGTAATGTATTGTAGTATTTCACTGTTCAACCCTAATGATCTGTGTCTTTCCAAGTTCACCGCGAACAATCAGCAACTACAAGTGACAAAAAGAGACATATGCAGCAGCTGAACGTTCCTTTTGACATCATTTGCTCTTCTTGGATTTGTCCTTCTTGCTCTTCTCCTTCTCCTTCGAGACCTTTGGACAAGCTTCTCATGTTGAAAAATCTGTCTGAAGTCACATCTCCAAAAGTCTAGGTAAGCGCAGGTGCTGGCTCTGCTTGGGGAAGTTGGGGAAGTCCAAAAAGACTTGGAGGTGGAAACGGCCTCATATTCCAACTTGCTTTACTGGAAACCGATCCAAGGAGCTTCAACCACTCCCACTTTACTCCAAACAGCCTTCATAAACTGGCAAACACCACAAATGTCCATGCCTCTTCAGCGATCCGTAAGCAGGTTTGCCAAGAGCATGTATTTTGACCAATGGGGCCTTGCAATCAGTGGTCCTTGTCTGCTCTCAATTTTGAATTGCATGTAACATGTATATACAATTTACAAGAGCAAACATTTGACGCCGACAAAGCTCCGCCATCTTCCACCATTCAGTTTCTCGATGGTCTTTGCAGATTTTTTTTGTTTGGAAGCTGTTTGATTTAGGTGGAGGCCATCGCTATTAGGTGGAGGCCAGTGACCAGTGCTATTACTGTAGTTATATAAGTTTCCCTAAATTCTAGCAACCAAATCATTAGTGCGAGCACTTCTTCGAGGAAGCGTGAGATATCCTGCGTCCAGTAGTTAGTAGCTACTTGTAGGAAGTAGTGATTCCCTAGCGGCCTAGCTACCTAGCTAGCTACTACCTACCTCACCTCTACTAGCGGCCTCACCTTAAGAAAAAGGTCTTGTCTTGTCTTGTCTTTCCACTTCGCGAGATCGCCTCAAGGAGCTGGATGGGCGCTGTCACTGTTTGAAAAGCCAATGGGGTGGTCGGACCCCAGTGCACCTGGCAGCAATTGAAAGGTGCTGTTCCTAAAAAGACACAGCAATCAACGAGAAAAAAAAACATACATCACTGATGTCACCAATTGAAATGGCAAGTGATCAAGCACGGCAGCAAAACGTGGATATATGTGAGCACAAGGCATCCAATGACACACCTGGAGTCCAAACTTTGCAAAGCCCATCTCTTCAAGTGAAATGAAATGCCCAAGTTGCCCACTGCTGCATCTGCTCGAACCATTTGGAGTTGTCCTAGGTGTCAAAAGCGTCCAAGCAATGAAATCGCAGGGATGTCTGGGGATCTCCAAGCAAACTGCATATTCTTTGGTTGTCATCTCCATTGCAGGCCTCAGATATGTTGCTTTTACTTTCGGGAAACAAACTTGTCCACTGCACCCTAAGAAGTCTCATGAAATCATAAAGTGTGCTTCCAAGCCATCCGCTTCACTTCAACACCCATCTGAATTGTTGCTGGAACCTCCAAGGGACGAAAGTAAACTGATATTGCTTGCTCTGCATTCGCTGCTGGTGCCTGCACTTTCGCCCCATCGTCTTGCATGTCATTGATCTTCAAGCGCACCTGGACTAAACAAGAGTCAAACTCCACGACATTTACTATATAATCTTACGTCACTTTGTCAAGCTTATTCAAACTGGGGTTACAACAAGATTAAATCATGTCCGAGATTCCGGCATAAATCAAAAGACCCAGGCCTGAAAGGATTGAATTTTTTAAACCTTTGTACAAACATCCAAAACTCCCCTGGGGTCCAAGCAACAGAACTGCACAACACCGTAAAGGACCCGCAAGTGGACAAGATATCTGGCAAAAACAGGCCAACAAACAGGAGGCTTCCACCATGGCTTCTGCGGAAGCATGTTGCCAAACTAAACAGAGGCAACCAAATTGAAACCAAAAGGGGTTTGTTTGGCTTGGTAAAGATCTATGTCCATCATCAGGATCACTACTTGAAGCAAACGCTCAATATTGGCGTGGTTAAATAGTCCAAACGGCCTCAGAAGAAGTGGAATTCAAGGCTCCTTGATTGCAAGCAAGCATGCGCACCCCAACTTTTCAATGTCATAGTTCTGCAGCAGCAAAACCTTGTGGGCGACTTGACTCCAAAAAAGCCAGCAACATGGCCCACCGTCACTGATATTCAACAAGTATTCAGAAGTTCTGCCATCTGTGAGTCCCTGGCAATTCCCTGGCACATGGAGAGTTCGTTTGTGTGAGCTTTCAAACAAGCCCCCCAGAAACCCAAGCTCTCAAACATGAGAAGGTTGCCAAAGGAACCATCTGCAGAACTGGATTGCCTGGCAGCTCACTTCAAGCTTCAACCATGGTACAGTAGACAAGATCCATTTGATTGCCTCCGCCGCCGATCATGGCAAAAATTGATGCACACCCCTTGACAAAAACGCATAAGCACAAGAGTACGTATGCTCTTTTGACACAACTGGTTGGTGGATGGCAAGCTTCACATCATGATGCTGCTTCCTGCTATTGATATAATGATGCCTTGTCACATCAAACTACACCTTGCATCATCATGCATGCCTTGAAGCACTTGGAAGCTTCATTCAAGCGTTTGACATTGGCTCAGGAAATGTTCTGCATTGCTGAGCAAGAGAGGATGCGATTCTGCTTTATCAACATGAATGCCGCATTGACTCAAAGAAAACAGGTGCCGCAGACCGCTCCAGAAAGACCAGACCAGTGCATCAAAAGGACAGTTCTGAGTGGTTTCAATGTGAAAACCAGCCATTCTCCAAACGGTATCAATAAAGAAGGGGCAAGCACTCATCAGCACTACTAGCACCAACAAGAGCAAAGCCAGCAAATCATTTTTACAATCTGAATGCAGCTTAAAACTATCAGACCTACCATGCCTTGCCATTGCTCCTTGAGAGCAGAGTTCACTTGGGATTGCGCCTTTGCCTCAAAAGGCCTGGATACGCAGTGACACCGAGGGGCACATAGTGACAGTGACACCCCCAAATACCATGAAACATAGATACAGTGAACAAGCATGCATGGCATGCATACCAGTCTCTAGGCATCCAACCAATCTCGCGTGAACTAAAATGCCTTGCAGCCCTTTAGGTTGCTAGCCGTGATTAAAGCCCACTTCTAAGCCATTTTGACTTGAAGTGAAACCTTTGGAAAAAGGTGTTGCGATAAGATCGACACCAGACCAGCAGTATCCCAACAATACCACTTGGCTGTACAGGTACAAGGTGTGTCCTGGATTGAGTTCTCAATCCCTTCACAACCCTGTGCACGTATATTGGGCTTTGACCCAAAAGGATTACCATAAATTTGGCTGCTAAATGGCTGCAAGACCCTCCCCTTTCTTCAAGCTCTCAAGCTTAGTTCAAGCTCTCCTTTCTCAACAGCGTAGTTTCGACCTGCAATCGCAGAAGTTGGACACAGAAGTAGCAAGCATTGATCTGACATGTGTTGAGGGAGAGCTTTGACATTGAACGTGTAATCGCTGTGATCATTCGCACTTAACTTATGAACTTTTTCAAGAGTGGGGTGAAGCGAAGCTCAAATGCACACGAACATCGACTTAGCAGCTATATATAAGACTAAGACCCATATGAGCGGTATCAAAAACATTCAAAAACCTGTCTACGATCTGTTATACTAATGAATGACTTGCTTCCGCCAACGCTTGCGCGGGGTTTCCGTGACCTGCGTTTTAGCTTCCGCGGGCCATGTTTGGTTGAAATCCTCTTCCGCGGCGCTTCTATTTCTCAAAAGTGCTTAGATAGATTTCCTTAGTAGTAGAAGCCGCAAAGCTTCAGCGGTGGTGAATTTTACCATATACTTACGCGGTGGCTTCCGCAAGCTTCCACGACTGGAGTTTTGGTTTCCGCAGGCAAGTTGGAGTTTACAAGTGTGTTTAAACTGTCTGTGAGAGGTTTTTGATGCTGCTCATATCATATATATAGCCGAAACGCTCGCTTGATCGTTCGTTTGCATGTGAGCTCGAAGTGCTCACTTGTGACATACCTCTGAAGCCCTTTGTTTGCTGAAGAAAAGACGAAGAGCGGTCTTTCGCTTTTGAGGGTGATGAGCCCAAGGTGCTGACCACTGCACTAGTGTTTTCATTTCGCGACGCCATGAGCGATGGTCTGGGCTCGGAGAAGACTCCGGAATCCAATGGGTTGAGGGCAATAGAAGATGTCCCGGCTTCTGAGGGGGTCCTAGTTAGACCAACAGGTCCTCCAGTGGTTCTCAGCCCGGCCAATTGGAACCCTTTTTGGTCGGAAGAAATGCGCGATGAAGCCATCCTCCGAGCGATCAGGCCAGCTGACTTGCCTTAGGACTCGCCTGAGCTACTTCCCACGGAGCCGTCTGTGGTGAGCCCTCCAAAGGATGGTGCGGAGGCATTCAGAGCGGTGATCCAAGGGCTGATGGTGGAGAACGCCAGACTGTGGACCGAGAGGGACACTTGGATGCATGGTCAATGCCATGGCCGCATGGGTTTTCCTCCAGACCAATGGAACCAACATCCACAGTGGCATCCTGGGCCTATGGAAGGGATCCCAAGAGATCGAAGCTTTGTAGGGTCCATGTTTGAGGCCGAGAAGATGTCGATCGGTTCGCCTGGGGTTTCAAAGGACAAGGGCATGTTGGGTGCTTTGGGTGGCGGAGATCGTGGAGGTTTTCGTGGTCCAGAACCCCTTCTACAAGAGTATGGTGTTCCTCAACGTTTTTGTGCTGGCGTGGGTCTTGGATAATTATCCAGAGATGTTCAGGGACAACGTCAAAGGGAAGGAGAGGCACTCTATTTCTTCCTCGGACAGCCTGAATAATGAAGTCGGTGTCTTTGTTGGCAGTTGGGGCCTCAATGCTTCCCAAGGTGAGAGCGGCTGGGGTGGCTGGTGAAGAACAGTGTCCCTCGCCTTCAGAAACTTCCAGCTGGACTGACCATGGATGGTTGTTGATGTTGGCTGGTTTGGTCTGTTTGCTCCACTTCGTGAAGGATCTGGGCTGGAGCTTGGCGAAGAAACTTCTCTCCAAAGAGGAGACCTTGAAGGTGACCTTGTTGAATGATCAAGCTCATCTAGCCGTGAAGGGGATGGCGCAAGCGGCTGGCAGGGACCTGGCTTCGTCAGTTCGCACGCAACTTGGCTGGGGGAGAGAAAGCTCATTCCGCTGGGCATCGCTCTTGAGGTTCCTTCCGGGTGCTATGGAAGGATTGCCCCCAGGAGTTCATTTGCCTGCAGAGGAATTGATGTGGTGGGGGGCGTGATCGATGCGGACTATCGCGGGGAGATCAAGGTCATTTTGGTGAATAACGGTACCGAGGTCTTAACCATCCACCAGGGTGACAGAATTGGGCGCTTGATCCTAGAAAGAATCGCTTCACCTCCTTTGCGCTCGTCAGGTTCCTTGTCCTCCACTCAGAGAGGATGATCGAAAGTCATGAATCGGTTGCTTTGGACTCCACTCCCACGCATGTTTTCTTTGAGGATGTGCACTTTTCAAGACCAGGTGAATCAATGGCTCAGTTTTTGAGCAGGCTGAAAAGCCATGAGCTCCGAAGCTATCGCTGGATGTTTCCGCAGGCCCTCATGCAGGAGCTAGATCAAGGCTCTTTTCGTGGGCGCACTTCGACCTTCCAGTCGGTTACCTCACATGGCACCATTCAGATTGTGATGCATAAGCATGAAAACTGGAAGACGAAGCTCTTTGACACGGAAGTTGGTGCTCCCCCACCATCAGGTGGCATGTGAGCAGGTGTGATCACGATTGGCCACTTCCAGGAGGGCGGCATGTTCCTCAGGGTGGATAATCGAAGAGGAAGCCGCTCGATGTGCTATCTGAAGTCGCAGTGGAGAGGGGCCAGCTTGTTCTTTTCGATGGGCAGCACGCCGGGGAGCTCCCGGTAGCGCTTTGAGGAGTTCAAGGGTGACTTGCTGAGAGGCATTGTTGCATAGATCACCTCTGTTTTTCGAGCCTCTTGCATTCAAAGGGTGAATGTGATGAGAAGCTTGGTGGAGGTGCGGCATTTTTCGTTTGCCTTTAGCTAGCATGACGTCCCGACGTGAACCTATCTCAAGAGGGCTTGGGTCAAGACTTTTGTTGGTCTTGCGAGTGCTCCCGTTTCAGATCCCAATAGAATCGGGAGGGGAGAGCCGAAACGCTCGCTTGATCGTTCGTTTGCATGTGAGCTTGAAGTGTTCACTTGTCACATGCCTCTGAAGCCCTTTGTTTGCTGAAGAAAAGACGAAGAGCGGTCTTTCGCTTTTGAGTATATATATATATAATATCCCCGGTAATTGTTGGGGTGTCTATTCGGGCATTTCATAGAGTCTAGAGAAATGGTGTCTATAAAGTGCCTACCCAGACATAAATTTACTATAAAATGTCAGGATAGACATGTGTGTAAAATAATGCCTAAGCATGGGTGACACAGGCTGCAAAAAGCTGTCAGCAGGAGTTCTGTAAAATGCCCACCCTGGCTTCTCAAGCAGAAAGACACCTGACACTATAAGATGCAAAAGTCAGGGGTGTAAAAGACCTTAGATCTATATATAAAATGCACATTGCAGTGATCAAGCGTTGATCAACAAATGAATGGTGGAAGGGACAAGAAAGGACAAGAGAAATGTTGAGAAACGCTCCCATCTCTGATCTCTGAAATGCCTGTTTGCAACATACCAAGCCTCTATGAAATGCCCTCTGGACATCTTCAACAACATCCAGGGCACCTAGCTCTCTATAAAATGGGTACCCAAAAGGCATTTCATAGAGGATAGAGATCGGCATTTCATAGAGCATCAGTTACCTGGGATTATATAATTATAGAGGATCTTTTCTGTTCCGAGGCGTTTGCATATTGAAGGTGTACAACAATGCTCAGAAAGGATTCAGAGATAACATATCAAGGCAAGATATCGCCTGTGTGCATTGGTCGAGGAAAGGGTGATTCTCCTAGAAAGTTCTTTCTGTTTTTCCTGCCAAAGAATGCGCCGGGACATGCACCGCATGTTTACAGGTACGACTCCTATAAGCACCAACGAGTAATCAAGTTTCGACATGAGAAGGTGCTGATGTGGTCTCTAGGGTTGGCAATGGTAATGGCACTCATGTTTTGCCAAACCCGGCAGCCAAGCCAATTCGCAAAATTTGCTGTGCACAAATCATCACTTGAGGAAAAGGCCAGTAGTTTGGAGACCAGGTATGGATCCATATTGGCCGCTGGTCGTCGATCCTGTCCAGGCAGGGTCTTCAATCATTCAATTCAAACGAAGTTCTCCATGAGGCCGGCCTCGTAGTACCCACAATCGCGCATGGCCTTGCCACACACAAGTAAGAAAGCGCTTTGTGCTTCAATGTTCTATCAAGACAGCGATGATAAGGCTCGTTCTACTTTGCAGCCAATCCGTATGCTGGCAGCACGATCACCGATACCTTCAAGCGGTTGCAAAAAGGCCAACCTCTCAGTCAATTTCCAGTAGCTTGGTCAACTCAACTACAGTACTCATGGACTCTGGCAAACAGAACATAGCAGACTATCACAGTGCAGGTGAATTATCAAGTGGTTCTGTCAAGCCACCCCAGGAAAAGTCAGTCATTGCAGCTGTGTCATCCTTCCCGGTCAGCCGGCGCTCATTGCCAATCCCATAGTTGGCGATATGCTTAGCCTAAGCATCCTTTCGTTTTTCAATGAGTCGTTTCACGGCGTCCAAAGGACAACTGCAACCAGTTGCATGTATCAAATGCTGGTGCCAAGGCCGGAGCATGCTCTTGGCGCAAACGTTCACACTGTCTCTTGATAGCGTCCATACCCCCTGCCAGGTGAATCCAGCTCTTGTGAATGTGACATGCGAATTGCTCAAAGCTTGGCCAACAAAGGATGTTTGAAGACTTTGACTCTTTAAAGATTTTAAAGGATCTCCGTTCAACCATTTACAATTACAATGACTCAATCACTGGCTTTCCCCAAGTCTGACTCTGAGATGTCCTGGAGAGCTTCGTGTCGCCATGTTGGAATAGTTGGTATGACCTGTTCTTCTCGTTGGTGGCTCAAGGCTGCCATTGCCGGAAGCATTCAGCAAGTCTGGGGCACCAACAGCCAATTCCTGCTTGCTTTGGCACTGGCTTTGGGTCAAAGGTGACCCCAATGCCATATTCCTTGCAAATACCAAACACCATGACACTGAATGCTAGCTGATTGGCAAGGGGACTGGATAGCAGTATTTTGGTTTCATCCTGCCTCACACAAGCGCTGCAAAATGTAACGGGACATCCATAGATCGTCAGCACCCTGCCTGACTAATCAAGGCAAGAAGAAGCTTTCCACAGTATCACGTCAGTGAAGCCGCAGCTGACCATGCCAACAGTCAAATCTTGCATCCATCCTTGCAGCCATGAGACGTGCCAGATGCAGGTCCAACTTGGAACTCCCATTGAGCTGGTGCCACCTTTGAGCTAGCAGCTAGAATTTGCACTTGTGACTAGGTGAGCAAAACAACATACAGGCCACATAGTCGCAACACGTGTACTTCGGGAATATCATCCAGAATCATGACAGCCACCTCCGAGTTTATGCCGCCGATCATGACACCAGCGTACAAACACGCCCTGTAGTGCGCTTCTATAACCTCCCGGGCAATAACTTTGGTTGATCCAACTGAGCAGTAGAAAGCCTCAGATGTGAAAGAAATTTCAGGACTGCTTTGTCATGAAGTTGATCTTCCCTCCCTCAGTTGCAGATCTCACCGGAGGTTTTTCATTGATTTGAGGACCCGAGCTCATTAATCCTAAAACATGTAAGTAGCAATAGAAGAACAGCCGCTGAGGTGTGAGTATAATCAGGGTGCCCTCACCTGTTCCAGGAAACTTGTTTAGTTTAAACAAAGCTGAACGCATCCACTGTCCACCACTCTACAATTCATATTTGAAGGACCGTTTTCAGCCCCAGTCTCCGGTACCTGAGCCACCCCGCAACAGCCCCTCAACCCAAAAATCCGTCCACCCCCCCGATGGCACAAGTGTGCCAGTCCCATTCTATATAAATCTATATAACTTGTATAACTTCTTTCTAACCCCATACTACATTCGCATTCCTAAAAAGTAATGGAAGGGATATCCAGGTCCTTTGATGCCAAATTGGGGACAGAGTCTGGCAGCCAAAAAAGAGTCGATTGAGTCAATGGATCAATCTCGCAGAATCCCCATCGGCTACTCTTCGCGGCCAGAAGATTATCTGCAAAGGCAAATTATGTGTCACGTCCACCTTTTGTCTTGGCATGGATAGAAAAACAATGAAAAACACCAGAATACAGGATATGAACGAAATATATAGAATGGCATAAATAGCGCCATCCTGCAACAACAAAACAAACCCTCTCTCGACCAAGATGCGGTTTCTTTGTCTGGGTATTTCCCAGCTGGCCATCCTAATGGCCATTTTGTCTTGGGGTCGAGGAGGTAGTACTCCTGCTCGAAGCCGAACCAAGGATCCTCAGCCGGTTTTGCATTTCCGACTCTAATCCTACTGCCTTCGTTCAAAACACAAATCTTTAAGAAAAATACTTTAAGGCATCTAATAGCGATGGCCTCCATCCTACTATATCCTATTGCCTTCGGCCTTCGTTCAAGTGAAACACAAATCTTACGACATGTTTCTCGACACCAAACAGTGGGCGCATGGCGCAAGCGTACAAAGAGCTTGGCTCAAATATGATTACCCTCCGGCCTCCCCAATATCTTCAGCTTCTTGCATAGCCTAAGTTATCAAATGTTATCAGGAGCGAAGTTGGCACAGCTGGACCATGAGTCTCAGTGCAACTGAAGCACGCGTTCGCAAGCTGCACGTGTGTTGAACTTTGTCGGCTTGCCATGGTCTGTCTGATCTTCTGAGGGCTCCTGTGACCGAATAGCACGTTCCTTCGCCTCTAGACTCTAGATTCTCTAGATCACCACAAAGTCTCGGCGGCCTCTCCTCATATGTATCCGCAAGAACTATCACATTATCACCAGGCCGGAAGGGATCCCTATACGTACGTCGAGGGACAATGACAATGTCTTTGGCGTCCTGACATCACATGCTGAGCCATTTTCTTGGGAACATGACTGGTACAAATGTGCAAGTGATAAGGAAAACGTGATATTGCTCGAGCATCGAGTGAAAGCAAATTTAGCCATGTCACGTCGCCCGAGTATGTCCAAATAGGTATATCATCGAGATGAAGCGGAACATCTGGAAGGGTTAGGGTTTTGCAACAAAGGTCAAAGCTTTGGCCATCCCAATAATCGCTGTCGATCCAAACATACCTTTGCTCGTGTTGAGAAAACAAGTGCTGCATACTGAAGAGTCAAAGGGGAATACAAAGTATGTTCACTTGCGGAGGAAAATGATGTCCCAGGAGTGTAAAGTGCAAAAGCTCGTGTTCAACAAATATGTATGACATCTTGTTCCTTGTCGAAATGGTTCATGGGTGAATGAATCCCGTGCTTGCACAAAGCTGTTGGTTGCATCTCAGCGACTCAGCCTGCACCTTTCCATGCTGATTGAGTCCCATGTACTTCTGAGTGATGGCATTGTTCAAGCAAACATCCTTTATGCCAGTTGGCGCGACTTCTCGAGAAGCTCCGGAGCCCATCTCAGGGAGGCCTGGGACAACTGCTCCCTCACTACGCCAAAATGGACACGAAAACCAAATACCCCTTTGACCAATCTATTAATGCAAATAGAAAGTGAAAATAGATCCAAGATGGTCCAAGACACTCTTGAGCCACTAGGCTTCACCTTGAGTTAAGCGCAAGGTTGCCAGAAATTTGTCATGGTTTGCCCAAGACAACGTCGCTCGAGCCAGGATTAAAAACAGCATTTAGCAATTTTCCACTCTCAACGAAAAAACTCAAGGGTTGTGACTGATCGTCAAATCAGTGGAGGACACATATAATTGGTCCCCACATACGGGGTTGGAATGTCAGGACATTTTTGGACCACTCTTGCTTAGGTCAATATGGCTCACTTTGTGAGACACGCGGGTCACCTACTACTACGCACTGTGCCTTGGCTTTGCCCAGCGGAATGAAGAAATTCATCACGCAAAGGCAGCTGATGATTTGAAAAGCATCTCCGGTCGCTGCATTACTTCGCATGATGAGTTCTTCCGACATTAGCGGTAATTTGGAGGACACTAATTAAGAGATTTGACTGCTGCTTGTCGAAGCATTCTTAAAACTGTGGAAGGCTTTCAGTGCTTCCAAGCCTGTTGATGTAGAAGTAAACGTCCGTACCTTCAGCAATGCTGCTGTGTCGATTTGTGCTTGCTCCTCACTACGGCTGGATTTAGATATGCAAAGGATACCAATACTGTAGGTGTCAAGAGAAAGTGCCTCACATCTCAACGTGGCCATCAGCTTCTCAAAGCTATTCGATATGCAACGGGATAATCGGCAGAGTGTGTGCATCTTTTGCGGGAAAGGACATTGTCAATTGTCTCCAATTGGCCTATTTTAATACAATGGCTCCAGCAACAGCGCCTCAACCGCCAAAACGCAACTGGAGTCACTAGAGGTAAACAAATTTATAAGTGCTGCCGCCGTGCATGCAAAGCAAAAGCCCATGGAACAAACGAGGAGGGATGCAAGGACCGGGGAAACAATCAGAACATGAATTACTATGTCTATCTATCCATCTATTATCCTATTATTATCCATCTATCCATCGATCCATCCATGTGTATATATATATATATATCGTATTATGTATATACATACATAGTTTAATCACTGACGGCAAAACATGTTGCATTTGTTTTTCAGCCCCTGAAGGTGATCAGCAAACTTGTCCATATCTAGGGCAAATCCCAGAAGGAGCTGCGACTTGCCGGAATTGCACTCCCCAAGAACTTCTACCTTCTTCCTCTTCCACCTACACCTTTCTGAATCCCCAAGCTAAGGTTCGTGCAATGTGAGATTGATTGTTGAGCAACGATTATATATTTGCAAATGCCCCAGTGTTCTACACATGTTGGCAGCTCACATTTTTGACCTTTGGAGTCCATCCTACCAGTAGCATCATATCCACATTATGTTGGATCGTAATCGTAGATGAGCTGTTGCACCAAACGCAAGCTGTCACACCAATCTGCAAAACGCATCAATACGCACTAATTACGCACAGTGTGTGGTTTCGGAGTTATTGGAGGCGAAGAGGTCAGTGCTCACAGTCGACTCCTTAGGTTCTCCAGGTTTCTCTGCACTGAAGCTATTGATGCATGTTAATGTTATTATTGATTCATATTGACTCTTCATCCTAGCACAAGTCCTCAATTTCAGGCAATCGTGTTTAGATGAACTTTCCCTCACTTCCCCTTGACCCACTACGACTACCCAACCATAGAACCCTAAATGGCCCTTGCCAGGCAATTAAGGTGCACCATGCACATACGTACATTCTGTCAACAAATGTTTGCTTCATGTTGTCAGAAAGGGACCAACACCTCGGAGAGCTATGAGAGCTTCCACATCAAAATGAGAGCAACAGCATGCCTATGGCGGATGCGACCAGCAACACAATTTGACACAAGAAACACAAAGCTTCCACAAGCAGAATATATAATATGCATATAGAAGAATCGCAATGAATCCCCACAACAATACAGTACAGTGGCAGAACGCAACACTGCAGTCACGATAGCGATTCACGTTCACTGCATTCTGATGTGATTTGGTTCAGCCCTTGATGAGCGTCCTCGTTACTACTATGTTGTACCATGGTGGTCTGGCTCTTTTGAAAGGATCAAGTTGGAGGCAATCGCAATTGGGTTGGTTGGAGGCCGTTGCTATAAGGTTGGAAGCCGTTGCTATTGGGTTGGAGGCGTATTAGGTTGGAAGCCGTTGCTATTAATTAGGTTGGAGGCTGTTGCTGCTGAGATTGGGTTGGAGGCCGTTGCTATTAGGTCAGAGGCCGTTGCTATTGGGTTGGAGGCCGTTGCTATTAGGTTGGAGGCCGTTGCTACTGGGTTGGAGGCCGCTTCTATTAGGTTGAAGGCCGTTGCTATTAGGTTGGAGGCCGTTGCTATTGGGTTGGAGGCGGTTGCTTTTTAGGTTGGACGCCGCTGCTATTGGGTGGTAAGCTGTTGCTAGTAGGTTGGAGGCTGTTGCTATTAGGTTGGAGGCCCTTGCCATTAGGTTGGAGGCCGTTGCTATTAGGTTGGAGGCCATTGCTATTAGGTTGGAGGCCATTGCCAGCAGGGTGGAGGCCATTGCTACTAGGTTGGAGGCCATTGCTATTAGGTTGGAGGCCATTGCTATTAGGTTGCAGCCCATTGCTATTAGGTTGGAGGCCGTTGCTATTAGGTTGGAGGCCATTGCTATTAGGTTGGAGGCCGTTGCTATTAGGTTGGAGGCCGTTGCTATTAGGTTGGAGGCCATTGCTATTAGGTTGGAGGCCGTTGCTATTTGGTTGGAGGCCATTGCTATTAGGTTGGAGGCTGTTGCTATTAGGTTGGTGGCCGTTCCTATTGGTTTGGAGGCCGTTGCTATTGGGTTAGAGGCAATCCCTATTAGTTTGGAGGCCATTGCTATTGGTTTGGAGGCCGTTGCTATTGGGTTGGAGGCAATTCCTATTAGTTTGGAGGCCGTTGCTATTAGGTTGGAGGCCATTGCTATTAGGTTGGAGGCCATTGCTGCTAGGTTGGAGGCCATTGCTGCTAGGTTGGAGGCCATTGCTATTAGGTTGGAGGCCATTGCTATTTGGTTGGAGGCCATTGCCAGCAGGGTGGAGGCCATCGCCAGCAGGGTGGAGGCCATTGCTACTAGGTTGGAGGCCATTGCTATTAGATTGGAGGCCATTGCCAGCAGGGTGGAGGCCATTGCTACTAGGTTGGAGGCCATTGCTATTAGGTTGGAGACAATTGCTATTTGTTTGGAGGCCATTGCTATCAGGTTGGAGGCCATTGCTATTAGGTTAGAGGCCATTCCTATTAGTTTGGACGCCGTTGCTATTAGGTTTGAGGCCATTGCTATTAGGTTAGA